CCTGTGGAAGGAGTGGAATCATATTCTGGGGTAAACTGAAGTCTGCTGGGAATGCATGGGATGTGCTAGTCACTGACTCACTGGTCCACATGGCGACACTTGGATTGATTCTTGACATCCCCTGTCAGAAATCCAGTCAGTGATCAGACGAATTCACCAAAGAAAATAATGAGGATTGTTACTAGCTATGGTAAAAAGTATCTCGTGGGTGGGCGCATTCATGGTTTTTGCTGAACATGTGATTGCATGTGGAGATTCATTTCAATCAGCATGTACTGGGACCCAGAGACCCCATGTCAGATATCAATCATATCCATGTAGGCCATAGCAAAATGGCATTATAAATAGTATTTTTGTCCCGTTTTCCCACTTCAACGCCTTAAAACGGTGGTAAAAATGGTGCATGGCTCATGAGAAAGGTTGTTGAAATCAGCCTTTGCTTTTGCTTTCTTGTTTCATAGCCATGCCTCCGGAGAGGTCACCCAGAGTGGGAACAAAAGTGTGCCGTGGCTCTTGAGAGGCAGTGAGGATCCCAAGGCCACTCACATTATTTTCCTTTCCGGTTCTTATCCGAGTGCCCAGCTCTGCCCTCTCCAATCCCCGCCCTTCACTGTCACCCTGCTGTGATAGCCTTTTAAGCCATCCTTCCCCATATCTCCCCCCATATTTTACAAGCCAGGTAGGGCTGAGGGCACTCAGCCCCGCTCACTGCCCTCCTTGTGTCTTGGTGAAAATCAGTGGCTGGAGAGCCAAGTTCTCTCTCACCCAGGCTCCCACGGGCTCAGTCTTCACGTGCGCTACATAGATAGATGTAGGGTTGCGATGCCGGTAAGGAGGAGGTCCGGTTCTTGTGCCATTCCTGATGACAACAAGCTCTGTTGGCTTGTGCTCAGAAGCAGCGTTTTGCTGCTCTGGCTCTCGAATTGACTTTTATATTATTAAAAAAAAAACCCTTAGCTGTCTTAATCGATCAAACACTATCATTGCCCACTACGAAAGTGAATATTGTTTGAATTCATTGATCAGTTTCATGATAAAACACCTACGGAAAAGCCTTTAAACTCTAAAGCTTTGTGGTATTTCCCACCACTTAACAGATTAGTGTCTGAATGTTTTTTTTTTTTTTTTTTTTTTTTTTTTAAGATTTATGTGTGTGTGTGAAGAAATAGTTATTCTTCCCTAGGAACATCATGATTATCGTTTGAAAACCTAGACAGGATGATGCACTAGGGATTTTTTTCCTGTGGCTGAGACACTGTGAAGGGGGGCAAAGACATCCTTTGCTTGAGGGATGCAGCCCAGCATGGTAAGAAGGCATCAACAGCAAATACTGCCTCCCTGGGTGCTGGACTTTGCTGGTATCATAGCCTGTTGCATTCCTGCTGGTGAGGGGTTGAGCTGGAACCAGAGTCAGCCTGTAACCTGCAAGCTCCATGTCTTGGCTGTCAGTCTGTTATATGGCTCCATGCTCAAAAATCCCATAATGTCCCCTAAACTGTGCCACCAACTGGGAACCAGGTGCTCAAGCACGTGAGTCTTGGGATGAGGGACACCGGTGGTCTACCCCTGAGTGTACTGAGTGGTCTGTTACCAATGATCTAGCCAAATGTGATGGACAGAAATCAAATGCACCAAATCATTTTATGGGTGAGATACTGGATAGATGGGCAGTGAGGAAAAACTGGAAGTTGGCATGTTGAGCAGGAAGACCAGCCTGGTCATAGTCCTCACCAAAATGATGGTAATAAGGCCCGAGTGTCTCCTCCATTCCCATCCCCAGAGAGGGCCAAGTGTTTCCCCTGAAAAACTGAACTTTCTCAAAGAGAAGCTTCGCTGATGCCTGTATCTGAATCTGGCAAGTGAGCCCGCCAGCCGGCTGGAGTGAGAACTAACAGTTCCATCTTCCCAGAAATAGTTTCCCGGTCACCTTTGCAGAGCAGAAATGAACAGCCGTCAGAGGTCAGCCGGAGTCGGAGGACAGACGCTGATATAGGAAAAGGAGAGGGAATAAACTCACGGGAAGCATGTAAAATGGATGCGTGGAATACAATCACATTTTAAAAGTGCTAAAGTCATTGTACTAAGACAGCGGAATAAAATTTTTGAGTAACTGCATGACAAAGAGGAAATAATTCTTGCCGATTTCCATCTCGGGAGCCACGGAGAGTCTAGCTGTGCTATTTCTTTCCTAAGGAAATAAAATGGTTGTATACGAGGAGTTGGGATGAGGAGGCCTGTAAGAGGGCTCAGCGGGTGAAGGTGCCCGCAGCTGCGCCTCTAGGTTCCCCAAGACCTGCCCGGGATCAGGGAGGAGTCAACTTCTGACCGCTGCCCTCAGCATGCACTCCGTGGCACAGGGGCATGTGCCCTCCCCACACAGGAACACATCAGTATGAAAACAATTGAAAGGGTAAGAGCAAGGATAGATTCAAGGTGTGGCTGTCTATACCCCTGTTTTCTCAACACTCAGGAGGGAGGGGTCAGAGAAAAGAAAGTTCAAGGCCTGCCTGTACCCCATAGCAAGATCCCCACCCCCACCCCCACCCCCAGGAGGGATTCAGTTAGGAGGGAATGATTGCCGATCTAGAAAACCGTGTTTAGTTTAACTGTCCATCTGGTCAGGAGACAGAATAAAGATATTTTCAGAGAAAAAAAAATGTACAGCTGTAATTAACAGAATATAATTTTAAAATCTTTATTAAGGAAAATATGGAACATATGTAAAACTAGAAAAATAATATATATGATGGCCCAACTTCAGTCATTATCAACCTTTTAAAAACTATCATTCCTTGGAGGGGGGAAACCCACATTTTTATCATTCTAGTCCTCAAGTCCACAAATTCTCCCTCTTTCCCCCTCCCCTCTCCCTTTCCACCTTTTCCTTCTCCCTCTCTCTCTCTCTCTCTCTCTCTCTCTCTCTCTCTCTCTCTCTCTCTCTCTCTCGCCCTCTCCCCCCCTCTCCCACTCTCCCCTGCCTTCTTCCCTCCCTCTCCTCTTCCTACTCCTTGGTATTACTGAGTTTGAACCCAGTGCCTTGGGTTTCCTAGGCAAGCACGCTCCTACACCCTCAGTCTCAATAGCCATTTCTTGACTCATTAGTAACCCATTCAGTGCTTACATTTCTCCATTCTCTCTATAAAATAGTTTTGCTTTTTGATTTTTAAAAGTTAGATTTTAAACAATAACCATTCATTGCAATGCAGTCATCTACCTATTTTTCTTACTTCTGTAGGTTCTTTCATGTTCTTTTTATTTATTTGAGTGTGTTTTTTTTTTTATAGAAGACAGTTTTTTTTCCCCCTGTCAAATTTCTGAGTTTGAGTGTTATCCTTGTTCCCCATAGCATTATGGATTATAGTTCAAACTCACAAATATGTTTAACTCCATACTGATAATGTTACCAAAGGTATTTTATTGATTATATGGAAAAAACAAACTAACACATTAAATTGAAAGTTGTAATTATGAGGAATTAATTAGCAATTATAACAAGAAAACTGAGTACATGTCATAGAATAATTCTACAACAGAGTGCAATTAAGTGTTGCTTAATTGTATAAATAGGAAATTAGGAGTTTCATATTTAAACTATGCTGTAGAAAAATAGTAATTGATGGGGGTAAGCTTGTCTTAATGAATATATTTGAGGTAAGAAACTGCAGAATTATATCACTACTTTGCAAACTTTTGTGAATAGGTATATCATAGACCATCAATGTCTACTAACATCAAACCTGAGGCACAGACATCACCCACAAAGTCACTCCGCTTTCAAAACAAGTCAAGCCAAAATCTGACCAAATCTTTAAAATCCATTATGAATACATACATCAATGTGCAAAGTGTCTAAGAGAGACTAGAATTTTAACTTAGTCAAAAACTATGATGAAATCTCAGCTGGAGAGTAGAGGAGGCACAGGGAATGACCGGAAGTACTCAGATGCCCTGATTAAAAGCGATAAATAAGTCTAGTTAAGAAACTAGACTCTAAATATTATTTGTATGGGAAAAAATACTACCCATTAAATGAGTTTAAAAGGGTTGTCCCTGGTGCCTAGATAAAACAAGAAAAGGTCAGAATGTCATGAACGGTTTGTTTTAGGCTCGGGACTTTAAAATGTTACTTGATTTTTAAGGAAATATTACTTTGAAGAAATGATTTAAAATAAAAGAAGTAATATAACAGAAAGATAGGCCTGACTACCGGGTGCCTCATCAAAACAGAGCCAACCACTATTAGTGAGTACTTATTGCACATGTGTATTGTGTGTGGTATTGCTATCTAGTGGCAGTACTCTTTATGTTTAGGGATGATGTGCCCACCCTTTGCTTGAAGGAAGTTCACCCCCTGCGCTCTCCATCCCTACACAGCCTGTGGACTCTCAAGAGTGTGCTGGCTTCTGCAAAGAATTTTTTAGCTCTACTCTAGAAACATTTCTATATCTATCTATCTATCTATCTATCTATCTATCTATCTATCTATCTATCTATCTATCTATCATCTATCTATTGCTATCTATCTATCTATCTATCTATCTATCTATCTATCTATCTATCATCTATCATCTATCTATCTATCTGTCTATCTATCTATCTATCATCTATCTATCTATCTGCTTTCTATCTGTCTATCTATCTATCTATCATCTGTCTATCTGTCTATCTATCTGTCTATCTGTCTATCAATCTATCATCTATCTAATCTATCTATCTAATCTATCTATCTACCTATCTATCTATCTATCTATCTATCTATCTATCTATCTATCTAATCTATCTATCTATCATCTATCTATCATCTATCTATCTATCTATCATCTATCTATCTATCTATCATCTATCTATCTATCTATCTAGCTATCTATCTATCTAGCTATTATCTATCATCTATCTATCTAATCTATCTCGCTACTGGAATCTGTCTCAACATCTCCAGCCCCTGTGACATTTCAGAACACGGTTGCAAAGGAGCTCTGACCGGAAGTCTCTGGAGCTCTGACCGGAAGTCTCTGACACTCTCAACAGAAGTCTTTGGTGAGGAGGCGTCTCCCCTGTGCGTGTGTCCGTCTTCCAAGTCAAGCTGATTGGCTGGGAAGTGGAGGTTGGAGAGGTTGAACTAAGGGAAGTTGTGTTTCCCAGATGACCTCTGCAGGGTGGCAGAGACGCAAGATGGCCTTGGGGTAAGTGATGTTCGCAGCTTTCCCCATGACCCACTTCTCTTGAGAGCCTTCCCCTCTAATCAGTAGAGATCCTTGGAGATCACGTTACTGTTTCACATCAGTTCCTTGCTTGACTGAGAAAACCATGATTACAAATGGGCATTCAGCCTCACAAAGCCAAAATGGCCATTCAGTATCACAGCCGCTGCCGAATCCCATCAACGTCCCCCTTTCTTTCCGAGCTATTTAAGCAACAGAGCACACCCTTATTTCTCTCAAAGAAATATGGAGCTACCACCCTATGAAACAAGACTATGAATGCAGATTCTTCCGAAATTGGGAGTGCTGTAAAAATAGCATTTTAAAAATTATTTCTACCTAGTATTTATTATTCTACCTAGTAGAAGATTAGGTAATATTTTAATGGTTCATTGCTATTAATCTTGTATTACTTATGTCAAATTTGCATAGATGCCATATTAAAAAAATCAGTAGGAAATGATTATTGCCAGAATGCGGAAAGAAGTATGTGTCAGTCACAAGAGATATAATAATCAATGATGTAAACTGTAAATGCACACTCTCTCTTCGTTAGCATACACATTTCAAGTTATTTTCACACATGTGGCTCCTGATTACTAATCATTTATGAAGTTGAGTTTTAATTATCCTTCAAACTAAATGTGAATTTTATTTTTGTAAATTCTTCCTTGGCAGGCTGATTCCTTTTTAACTTAAAAAACAAAACAAAATAAAACAAAACAAAAAAATACCCTCGTTTTAGTTGAAGGGCATTTGCAGAACTTCCCCCTTGCTCTGAAAATGTAACCCGGTTCCTGTCACTTGGCTTAATGTTCCACACATGTTTTCTCACTTAAACTTTGCCTCATTTGGCTGTGGTTTCTTTCTGTAGCTTTTGAAACCGTTTCTAATGGAAAAATGCAGCTGTGAGCAAGATTTCCTAAAATGTACATGGAATTAATTTTCCAGGCGTTTTCTGCAAGAGCCCCATGTATCTGAAGGAGAGACTTTGCCAAGAGGCATTTTCATATAACCAAATGAAAGCGAGAGAGGGCGGGATGGCCAGTCAAGGCCGTGAGCGGAGCCTTGACACAGAGAAGAGCGGGCAGGGGGAAAGAGAGGAGAAAAGACCTGAGTGTGAAAGATGACCCTTGTCCCGTGGGAAGGAAGGAGAGCAAAGTAAGAGGTCCTGGGAGGGCAGGAAGGGCAGACCTTAAGAAAGAAAATGCTGTCTCCTGGAACTGTTGTCATTATTTTTAAAACGTATTAGTCTTTGAAAATCTCCCATGTGTCTATAACGCTTTCGGTCATTTTACCCATCCGCTTTTGTTTTTCACCTTGACAAATCCCCCTCCTGTTTTCATGTGTGTTCGTTCGCTTGTTCTGTTTGTTGGTGATCCACTGAATTTAATCAGGATTGCTCTCATGAACACTCGTGGGGCTTCGCAGTGACTACATCCTCACAGGAAATCCCTCCTTCCCTAGCATACCTCCACCTCCCCACCCCCCACTGCCAGGAGCATCATTTTCAAAGGGCAGTCTCTAGCCTGTGTCTTCAAAACTTCTGTTTTCTGTGAGATCGATGAGTTGTACAGTCTATTAGAGATAAATAAAATAGTTTCAGCTAAAAGGTCACTTTTTAAAATAGCATTTTAAATATCACTGTTAAGATTCTTTTTTTTTTTTTTCTTTTTATCAACAGCCTTCTCTGGCCACATACTGTTTTTATAGACACTGCCAGGTTAAAAGCTGGGGTATCACACAGGGCCTCCCTAGCTGCTGAAGTGCACTGCTCATGACACTGTGGAAGCACAGACATGAGCGGATGACTTGAGACAGTGAAGCCTCCCTGTGTCTGCTCTCTGCCTGAGTTTCTGCCCTTTACACTGTAAGTTCTCAATGTCGGTGACCAAAATCCAAAACACAGACAAGAAACAAAATGTGTTCTCACTCTTAATGTGGAGTTCTGGTGGTGCATTTTTTTTTCCAGAATTGGTCTCTAGAAGAGTGTAAATTTCAAATGCGTGAGTAGTATATGTTTTCTGTTATATAATATTTAATATGTTAATTAATAATTGTGACTATGGCAGTTTTATTGCTACATGTTTATGATTGATTTACACATTCTCTACTGGTATGGATGGTTTTACAACTGACCAAACTGGCATGCTTCCTTGGCCCAGTACAATCAAGAAATTACCTTATGAGGATGCAGGCTATGTAAATATTTAAATAATCTTATTTAAATATTGGAGGACGCTGCACATGGACAGAGAACAAAATGAAGACTATGGTGTGACTGATTTAAGTGAAATAAACACAAGCAACTATGTTTACAAAATAGTCCAAACTAGTTTTTGAACAGCATCCTCAAAACTTGAGGTTGATAGAAATCTTTGAAATGTAACTGAGCTCCTTCAATGAACTCCTGCCAAATATTGAAAGGTGATTCTTAGGAATATTCCACAGTTCAGGCCTACCTTCAATAATCCAAGTGCAATTACAGTACCACCGACTATAACAATCCACTCCTGGACGTGGTTTGAAAATATGTATCGTTTCTGAAATAGTTTTGATGATTTCACGGGGGTGGGGGGGAAATCAGGCTGAGAAACATTATCCGTATTTACTTTCTGTTTGCCTGTTACCATGTTCTCAAAATCTAGCTCTTTGTAGTTATTTCGTTTTATATTTTTGGATATGGCTTTGCTTTCACTCATCCAGCGTTTTGGCTTATTTGATTGTTTGGCACTCGCTTCTCTACAGCCAAGGAATTTATATAATCTGATCACACGGAGAGATATTCACAGACAGAGCTGAGTCGCTTGCAGCGGAGGAAGAATTTGTAGCTGGAATCGTAGCAAATACCGATGCGCTGAGCTCGGTGTATCACAAAAGCCCCTTGAAAACTGGGTTTTCTTGGTGGAGGGGTGAAAGTGAGGGCATTTGTACTAGGGCTACAATTGTTTAAGGGTCTTGTATTCACAGAGCAGATTTGTTTGATGTTCTGTGGAGCTTGACACGTTATAAAATAAGGGAAGAAGTTCTTGGTGTGAAGAGCAGACCCGAAGCCTTTTATCTTGCTTCCTTTTCTTTTCTTGTGGAGACAGGAACAGATATCTTTTCACCCAAACACTGCTTCCCACAGCCAGCGGACCAAAAGAAAATACCCCACTCCAGTCCAGCTTGATAAACCAGTGAGTCTCTTGAGACTACCTACAGGAGCATGGATAACTCAGTCACAAGCATACCCCAAAAGCCAACCCCAACCCGGATGATGACCTCCTGAAGCTGCATCTGTGGAGCCCCGACCCCAGTCAAACCCCTACACCCTATCTATGTGTCTAGAGTCCCCAAGACCATGGACAGCTTGGCCAGGGTTGCTTGCAGTCAGGGAGAGGAGCAAGAGGGAGGAAGTGCCTGGTCTCTCAGTTGGGGGTTTGGTGAACTTCCTCCTTTCCTTCTGTGAGGGAATGCCTGCTGGCCTTGAGAGGCTTTGTGCAGGTAATCCCATGCACACCAATTTCCAGAGGACCGTGGCCCGACTCACTCCCAGAGGACAGAGTTCTACAGTATTGGCTGCCTCTCTGGCCCAGGCCCAGGAGGGGTTCCTCTGCACAGTCCAACGTGTCTGGTACAATCTGACCCAGTCCTGTAGATACCGGTAGGCTGTTCTCCTCACCTCTCAAATGCCACCTTCTCAGAGAAGCCTATCCTGGCACCTGAATGAATGCTGCTGAGCGTCCTCTCCCGAGTCACCAGATCCACCTCACTTTCTTCACCCCTCACGGCTTCTGTTCCCTGCAGTCACTCAGCTCCAACCTTGCTGTATAGTTTGCCATGGTTATGGTTTAATTTCCCGCCCTTCTCCTCCCAAATGCTCCAAAAATCAGAATTTTCTCCCATTTTGTTCTTGGATACAAGTGCCTTTGGAACAACATCTGGCCCGGAGAAGGCACTCAAATATTTGTGGAATGATTGGATTTAGCAAATCGGTATTGAGTGTCTGCTCTGTCCCAAGATTTGTGCTTAGCCCTGGGAATAAAAAACGACAGCAGGGTACAGCTTCTAACCCACAAAAGTTTACGTGGCGCACGTCCCAGGACACCCATCACACTTTCTGACTCAGTAGACTTTGGATGGAGTCTAGAAATTTGCCAGTCTGCCAGATACACCAGAGTTAGTTTATCCTTGGTTCCCCACTGTCCTCTGTGCTGACAGATAAGTTATATTATCATGGAATCTTTGACATAATGCAAACCTGAAATGTATCTGGCATTGAATAACCATCCCTCACTGATGAAGGGGTCATGTAATAAATAACATGTCCTTTCTGTTTTCCAGAAACACAGGCAAAAATGTTCATTGCTCATGTCTTTCCGCAACCACAGTAGAAAGGAATGCCCCAGCACAGATTAAGGAAGTAGGTGAGTGTGAAAACTAGAACACTCCTCGGGAACATTCTTTGTAGATTTCCGCTGCCTTCATCTCAGGAGGCAGATTTTAAACTGGGTGTCAATGCATCTTTAGATTTTAGTCTCAATCCTTGTACAATGCAAAGCTTGGTACATGCAGAAAGTTTGCTTTTGGAGGATCGCTTTGTACTTATGGTGGGCTGGGGTGGCACAGCTGTTCCTGTGGAAGTGAGTGGTCAAGACAGGCTGTTGCCTCAAATTCAGAGTATCCTTGTGTGTCCTTATCAGATTTAGAGCCTTCCGAGGTCAGCGTGCCTCTGTGCATTGGGTAGACTCAGACAGGTCTACTGACAGACCGCTGCACACTCACCAAATCAAATTCAACTTCAGTGTTTCCTTTTGTTTTTGTTTTTTGTTTTTTGTTTTCATTTGATTCTTGAGCCAGAAATTGTGTTGATTGGTTCCAAAGGGACAAAGGTTAGGAATGGAAAGTTTTCATGGGTTATGATGAAACACCACTAAGGCACACTTGTCTAGGGATAGAATCCAAAATAAAGCTCATCTTTGTCATTCAGAGCAAAAGAATGGCCTTATTGTTTTAGGACAGATTCATCTAGAACATGGTTGATGAACATGGTATGCTGCCCCCAAACCAAGACTCCACTGGAATAAGATTAAAATCTGTATCTGCAGTATATAGCTATTCTCAGGCAAAAAAGTTAATACAAGTAGAACTTAACTTTCTATAAGCCCAGGTCCCATTCCATGCATATGCTTAAAAAAACATTTTTTTTATTAGTTCTTTGAGAGTTTCTATTTTTGTACAACATGGTTGGATGATATTCACCTCCACAGCTTGTAGTGGTACTGTGTTTCCCAAAATATTGTTCACTCTAATAAACTTATCTGGGGCCAGAGACAGAACAGCCACAATATTGAACAGGCCTTTAATCCTAGCATTCTAAAGGCAGAGATCTGCCTGGATCTCTGTGTGTTCAAGGATATAGCCAAGCATGGTGACTCACGCCTTTAATCCCAGAAAGTGAGCCTTTAATCCCAGGAAGTGATGTCAGAAAGCAGAAAGGTATATAAGACGTGAAAACCAGGAACTAGAAGCATTTGGCCGATTAAGCTTTCAGGCTTTGGAGCAGCACAGTTCAGCTGAGATTCATTCGGGATGAGGACTGAGAGGCTTCCAGTCTGAGGAAACAGGATCAGCTGAGGAACTGGCGAGGTGAGGAAGCTGTGGCTTGTTCTGCTTCTCTGATCTTCCAGCACTCACCCCAATACCTGGCCTCAGGTTTGTTTTCATGAATAAGAACTGTTCAGATTCGTGCTACAACAGCTCTACTGAGATCCACCCACCCTTCCCTATTTTACTTGTCCCCCCCAAAAAAAAAGCTTCAAGACTAATGTGTACATGTCCCAAATATTCTTGGATGTGTGATCTTCCACCGCAGCACTTGATTTACCAGAAGTTACTCTTAGGAAAAAACGATACTGCCTTTTCCAGTAGCGAACAACTGCCGTTTGCCGCATGGGTGTGTGTGTGTTGGGGGGGGATCTGGGTATTGTGTGTCCGTCTCCCTTCTCCATTGGGCTTGCAAGCTGGGGCCCGTGCACGGTTTTGCACGCTCTCATAAGTGCTGTGGGTTCACATGTGTAGCTGTGCTGCTGTTTCCAGATGTTTCTTTGTAGTCACTTACCATCTGTGCCTCTTTAGCCCCTGAGCTTTGGGAGGAAGGGTGTGGTGTATGTGTTCCTACAGGGCTAATCTCTCTGCTGTCTCTTGTTCTGTACACCTTGGCTAGTCCTTATATGTCTTTCTCGGTCTATTATTTTCCTCCCTCAGATAGATATCCAGCACTTTATTTATTTGTTTGTTTGTTTGTTTATTTATTTATTTATTTATTGAGGGGTGAGACAGGGTTTCTCTGTGTAGCTTTACACCTTTCCTGGATCTCGCTCTGTAGCCCAGGCTGGCCTTGAACTCACAAAGATCCGCCTGCCTCTGCCTCCTGAGTGCTGGGATTAAAGGCGTGTGCCACCACCACCTGTCGATATCCAGTACTTTAATTTTTCGATTGCTGTCTTTAAACAGCCCCTATTTTCTGGAAATAGAATTGTACCAATAAATTATGCACTATTGTGCATTTGTTAATTGGCCGTGTAATCCACACGTAATCTACCCCAAATATATTTGACTGGTAGGGATTTTTTCCAGTTGTTAGCCAGAGTGTCTTTGCCAAGTGGCATAAATTCCAAAATCAGGTGATACGAACTATCCATGTTTTGAAAAACATACAGGAGCTGGTCACCAAATACTTGCTATGTGATTGGACCTTCTGTACTCAGCATCCAGTATCATCATTAGGAAGGTCCTCTGTGGTAGACGATATTGGACCCTTTCTAAAGATGAGAAAACCAAGGCCCAACGAGGTTAGTTTACTCCCCAACGTCGTGAGAGTCAATCTATGAGCTTCAGAGACTATCAGGCTCCTGACTTCCCCCTCTCTCAGTCAGCCACAGGGATGTAAAGATGTGGCTGCTCATACTAATGGGGCCTGGGCAAAAATAAGAATTGAAGGGGACGTCTGGAGAGACGGCTCAGCAGTTAGGAGCATTGTGCTTGCAGAGGAGCTGGGTTTTCAGTTCCCAGCTCCCACAAGGTAGCTAACAACAGTCTGTAATTCCAGTTCCAGGGGATCTGATTCCCCTCTTCTGGCCTCTGTGAGCACTGCACACATATGGTGCATAGACATGCATGCAGGCCAAACACCTATACATTTTTTAAAAAAATGAAGAGATAAAACAGAATATGAAATACATTATTTGGCCGTGAACACTTTTATCTAAAATCACGAAGCCAAAGTCATCTGGTCATTTGGAAATCTTTACTTTCTATGCCATGGAGTCTATGGCTTTGTCAAGTGGCAGAAAATGAATATTTACCATATATTAAAAAATGAAACCAGTGATGACCTTGGAAAACCTCTCTAATTCTAGAAACAAGAATTACATTATCACCTCTATTTTGCTCTCTAAATTGCTGATTCTACCTTCAGCCGTGTTTGTCTTCATCTTGACCCCTTTATTGGATGGTCACATCTATGATAACCTGTGGTGCCATTCTGCTTCCTTTGATAACTCTGGCTTTGCTCACATTGCTCTTACTTTCTTTTCTTTCTCCAGTTATTTTGAGTTGCCTTATTCCAATATCTGTGCTGCAGGCGTCATGCACGGCTCAGCTACAGGGTTCATTATTTCAGGTCTACACGGGTTTCTTAAGTATAGACCCACTCATTCACTCCTTAGCCATGAGAGTGTGTACTGTAGGCCCTCAACTATTCTGGCAACCTTTTGAGGTAGGTACAGGTTCTTGAGTCAAAGTTTTGGTCACTTTGGGTAATCCCTACTTACTTACTAATGATATTTCTCAGAGGAAAAAAGAAAAACACTTTAAGCTGCATAAAATCCACTGCCACCCAGTCCTAGTGAAGACGGAGAAAATCTGAAGTTTCCGTACATTCCCGGAGGGAGCACAAATGTTGGGACCATGTTAGAATGTCATCTGGCAAGTTGGTTTTTTTACAGCAAGTTAAAAAAAAAAATCTACTTAACATAGGACCCTATGATCTCACACTTAATAATTTACCCAAGGACATTTCATGCTTTTATTAAAAAGATAGAATTGTGGCGTTCATCCATGGCTCTGGGTAGGGGAGGACTGGACAATAAAGAACACAGGGGGAGTTTTGAGTTTAGCTGTTTGCGTCTTGCTTGTGGCAATGACTCTACACCTTTCCCCAACACTAAATGTATCGCCAAAGAGTGAATTTCACTGTCAGTAAATTAAAAATAAATACAGATGTTTTTCAAAAGCAGACTCCATCCTATTTGGATAATTCCTTGCCGCTCACACCTTCCAGAGACTAAACGCATTATGAAAAATGTCGTGCAGTATTTCATGTCTTGAAGTTAAGAACAGACCTCACTATTTAGTCACAAAGTCACACCTGAACTATTTTCATTAGCTTTATTTTAAATGTTTAATAAGCACGAGAGTCTGAAGAAAAACATTTCCATCCTCATTATTTTTTATGTTGTGCCAAACCTTGCGTCTACGTGAGCATGTGTGAATTTGCCTTTCAAGATCACTCGGTTTTCTTAACAAGCTCTATTTAGAAGACAAAACTTTTAGTTCCTTTAACTGATTTCCCCCATTCCCTCAGCGTATTAAACTTGATAGAGATGAATTAGTTTAAATGCAGGTGGCTACAGGAAAAAATGACGAAATCTTGAGGTCAGTTCCCACCCAGGGTTGGCTGGCCCTTTATCCAGTCACACACAGAAAACACTAAGGTGATCTCATGCCTGTAAAGGTGGACGCGTGTTCTCTAACCCAGGTGTTAAAAAGGCTTCAGACAATCAGAGAGCTGATGAAAGCCACATCTGTTCCCTTTAGACGGCACAGCTGCGTGAGAACACAGCAGGGCTCTCAGCTCTGTTTGCAGCAACTTGCTTGAAATGATGGATGTGCAGACTGCACTTGGAATTTTGATAAACACACCAGGGTGTCGATTCAAATCCAGAGTCTGGATCTCCCCCTCTTCACCTCTTTTTGTCCTGGTGCTTTCATAGTCTTTGTTAATTCCAGTAAGTAACTGAGGGACAAATAAAACAGAGCTTTCCAGATCTCTAAACATATGCCTTTGCCAGGATTCATTACTTTCATGTGTGTCTTTTAAAGTATGGAAATGACATCTTAGATTCCCATTGCACTTCAGGATTTGGGGAATGAAAAAAATGAATTTATTATTAACATAAAGGGAGGTAGCAATATAGGGGTTTTAAGCTGTGGTAAGACATTCACATTGTGAGTGAGTCAGTCATGAATCTCATTATTCCACTCAGCCTTTCATTCTCACTAAGTGTGTTTTCTAAGGAGTTCCAAGTGATATCTTTATTTGCGATCTTAACTCAATCAACAGGTGATTCCTGCTTGCAGATCCATGTTGTATTTCAAAGAAAATGAAATTAAGCTTCATCGGCTTTGGGGTTTCTTGTTTCATACCCACTCAAATTTTGCCTGGTGGTAGAATATTTGCTTCAACTCTTGGGTGGGAGAGAAAGAGGGAGGAGAGAGAGAGAGAGAGAGAGAGAGAGAGAGAGAGAGAGAGAGAGAATAACAATTATTTAGAAACATTTAAGTCAAACCCTTATTCCCTGTGGTGACCAGTTCGGGACCCACTGCTTGCTTGCTCCCTTGGAGACTAACTTGCTTACTTGAAATATCCCCAGTGCTATGGACTCAAAATCAGACGTGAAAAGAGCCGCCACAGATCACCCTGGGACGACTCTGCTTCAGAGCGGCGCAGCGTGGCTGCCGTGGCCACGCACAGCCACGAACACTGTGTTGGTCTTTGTCCCAGGCCGGTCCTCTTGGCTTGAGGTGGTTTTTGCAGATGCATCTGCTTTACTGTTTGTGATCTTCAGACATTACTAAATGTGTCCGGTCTTTCTCTCCTGTTTGTACAGTCTTACCTGGAAAATTAGAAAATCCAAAATTGACATTTCTGGTGTCAGTGAGGAGGGGTTAAGCTAGTAGTTAGAACACTTTCCTTCCCTTCCAGAAGGGAGGGAGGGAGGGAGGGAGAGAAGGAAGAAGGAAGGAAGGAAGGAAGGAAGGAAGGGAGGAAGGAAGAAAGGAAGGAAGGAAGGAAGGAAGGAAGGGAAGAAGGAAGGAAGGAAATAAATTGTAATTATAGTCTCCCTCCTTTCTAGAATACTTACTACATGCCAGGACTTTGCTACCACAATCTGGGAATCATATTATTTATAGTTCGAGGTTGTGGGAATTGTTCTCATACGAAGCTCCCCACACTGTGATGTCAGCTGCATGGTTAAATCATAGCCATCATTGCCGTCGATGTTTTTCTCTTATGCCCTGTTACATATACTCAACTCAGCTGAGCTTGGTGCCAAGGGACCTATAAACTCAACAGCTGAAGCAGCCCAGGGCCTTCCCTTCAGGGAACTTTTATGCTATGGTAACCAAGTGTCATAGATGGTCCCTAAGCTCCGAAGTTACCATCTCTGAAAGCTCTGTTAGCAGACCACTGAACTCGCCTGCCCACCCTCCACCTCTGCTGACTCCCCCTGCTCACTCCTTTCAGGCAGGGATGCTGGGAGCCTGGGGGGTCACAGGCAACCTCTGTGCTGGACTCTGCTCCCTCCCTCCCTCCTCCGCTCCCTGCTGGGAACGCATCAGCACAGGCACCTACCGCAAGGGTCTGACCCCCTTGCCAGAGCTCTCTAGACCCCACAAGAGGTTCTGTTTGCAATCCCTCTTTGTACTGCAGCCCTTAAAATAATGTTCAGAGGACTAGGGGAAGGGTCCGAACCACAGGAAAGAAACAGCAGCCATTGCCATGGTCACCATGCTGCTTTAAAGCAGCACGTTGTACTATTTTCCTTCTAGTGTCCAATAAACCAGAGTCCTTGCACCCTCATCAGAGGACTCAGGCTGGTCTGGGTCACTTGGTTGCCAATTATAAGGGTTATGGGTTTTGGCTTTTCTTTGTTAGCGATTTATAATTATTATTCTGCCATTTAGTGACTCTCACTGAATCTAAAAGAAACAAAGGGTGAATAAATAGAGAAACCTTTTGCTTAGGATATGCACAAATGTAGCTCTTTCCCTGTATTTGTTCACTGTGGGTAGATTTTAATGGGGGGCAGGTAATTCAGAATTTTTTACTTTAAGTTTTTATTTTCAGAAGTATTGCAAGTTCCTTTCTTTCTTTTTTAGATTTATTTATTATGTATACAGCATGTTTGCCTGCAGGCCAGAAGAGGGCACCAGATCTCATTACAGATGGTTGTGAGCCACCACGTGGTTGCTGGGAATTGAACTCAGGACCTCTGGAAGAGTAGCGGTGCCCTTAACCGCTGAGCCGTCTCTCCAGCTGGAGAGTTTCTTTCTTTCTTTCTTTCTTTCTTTCTTTCTTTCTTTCTTTCTTTCTTTCTTTCTTTCTTTCTTTCTTTCTTTCTTTCTTTCTTTTTTTTTAATGGAATGTTTTCACTATTGTGGTCTGGTAAACAAAAATAAGTAAGTGAGGATTCCACTTTCTGTCTCTGTGAATAATCAAAAAAAAAAATAATCACGAGTCACAGCATTTGACAGTTATTTCTGCCAATCGGCCATTTTTAACTACTTTATATTTCTTTTTTATAAAAAAGAAAGAAAAAAGAAGGAAGGAAGGAAGGAAGGAAGGAAGAAAGGAAGGAAGGAAGAAAGGAAGGAAGGAAGAAAGGAAGGAAGGAAGAAAGAAAAAAGTTTCAACCGGAGATTCTTAACTGACTTTTCAATTTTTAATTTTGAGGCTATAATGATTTTTTCCAGTTCACTCCTCAACTGTCCAGTCAAATTCTGATAGTTGCTCACCTGCCTTTTCCTCCGGCTTCTTTAGGTTGACATCTGCCAGGATTTATTCTTTATCTGTCTGTCTTTCCACCCAGACAACACCACATTAAAGAAAGGAGTAGCATCCTTTCTCTTTGTAGTCTTGGTATTTAGAAGGTGATACCAAATGCATTTATTGAACCAAAAGAGGGATGGATTTTTTTAAAGGGTGTGAATATGAAAAGCCAGCTGAGGCTGAACCCCGTTGATGTGACTGAGAGTGTTGACCCATAGGAATCGTATTCAGTGAGGCAGAAGGATGTGGGTTTTGGCAAGCATTTTAGAAAGTATATATTGGGATGTAGGCTTCTTTGTGATGTCTGCGTGTTATGGGTAGAAACACCTGTCCCTGGGGACTGGACTAGTATCCTGTGCTTAGATGGCCATTGGAATGCACTGTAAGTCAAATGTTCCCCCTGTGTTTCTTCCACATAAACAATTTTTAAAGATTTACCTTTACTTTATGTTTACTTATGTGCATATGTAAGTGTGAGTGTGCGCCACCTGCGTCTGCGGGCCAGAAGATGCACTGGATCCTCTGGAGCTGGAGGTACAGGCTGATGCGAGCCTCCTGGACCAAATCCAGGTCCTGTACAAGAGCAATACACGCGCTAAACCTCTGGGCCTTCACCCCACTCCTCAGGTAAACACTATTTTGATGACAAGAATATTAGTGGCAATTCCTAAGTAGGGTATCTTATATCTTAGATATTCAGGAGTATTAGGAAATAGCATAACTGTACTTAATTTTCTTAAAATTATTAATATAACAATCACTTTACTATTATAAAGACTTTTTAGCTGTTTTTGGACAATTTTGCCTGATACATGAAGAATTTTAAGGCATTTAGAATATGTATCATAAATATAAAATACATTTTAAGTATATGAGATATATACTTAAAGTGTCTTAAAAGTAAGGAGTAAGAGACTAGAACATCCCGTAATTGGTAGAAGTGATGTTGCTTGCATTCCATCTCTTCCAGCATTTGCTTTAATTACAATTTACTACTTTTTTAGCAGATATTCACATGGACTATTACTTCAGTGTAATAATAAGAAGAAGAAGAAATAAAAATAAAATAAAAAATAAAAGAAATACAACTCAATACAGTGACATTCTGCTATACTCATAGATCAGTGCCTTGCTCAGCTAACACCAGACGAGCATCCTCCTGCAGCAGATGGGAACAAATACAGAAACCCACAGTCAAACATTACTTACACACACACACACACACACACACACACACACACACACAGAGAGAGAGAGAGAGAGAGAGAGAGAGAGAGAGAGAGAGAGAGAGAGAGAGAGACAGACAGACAGACAGACAGACAGACAGACAGACAGACAGACAGACAGACCTTGGAACACTCAGCCCTACATGGGATGTCTCTATCAAATCTCTCCCCCTCAGGGTTCAGGGAACTTTGCAACAGAGGAGTTGGAAAGAGCGTGAGAGCTGGAGGGGCTGGAGGACACCAGGAGAACATGGTCCTCTAAATGAGCACAGCAAAGCTCATGTGAACTCACAGACTGAGGCAGGCACGCACAGGGCCTGCATTCCAGTTTAGGGTTCTTACGGGATTCCTGAGTGCAAAGGAGTGGATCTCTGATTCCTGTGCCTGCTCTTGGGCTCTGTTCCTTTGGGTTTGTCTTGTCCAATGGTGATGTGTTAGCTTTTGTTTTATCTCACTACATTTTATTTTATTATTAAAAAAAAAATCTCAGTGCAGATTTTGGGAGGAACACAAAGAATTTTGAATAAACTTGTGGCTTTTGTTTTGCAGAAACCTGGCAGACTTTCTAGCGATCTGCAAGAGCCCAGCAGAAATCCAAATTTTTAAAATATTTTGCGGGAATTCTCAATTTTTAAAATATGCAGACTCAGATCCTCTCATGACCAAGAAACACCAAGTGACTAAAGTTCACAAAACAAAAGAAAAATAAATATTTTAAAGTCTACTTCAGCTGTTACAGTCATTTGTTCTAGGACAATGGATCAAATGGTGTCAGTTTGCTTTGAATCACTTTCTACGATTACTTTTTCAAGAAGAAAAAAGTCCAAAACATTTTCAGTAAATAACAGAAAAGTTTAATGAGTTTTCTGACGAAGGCATTTCATGGAAATAGTTTGAATTGAGACATTTGAGAGCCGTTAACACAAACAGTGTCAGAATAGCTGGTGTTTATAGCAAATTGGGGTTTTAATGAATTTCAGCCAGTTTTATCGTTTTCCCATCCTATCCACTGTCTCTGTTGGCCGTTCCTTGCTAGTCTTTCCGGGAATGGACGTTTTTCGTCCAGTAGACTCCGTTCTTTTAACTTGGTCATTTCCGGTAGGACCCCCACTTTTGTTTGGGCTCATTTTCCCATTGTCTGATAAATGGAGTCACTGGAAGGAGAAATCCCAAGGGCTAGTCAGAGAAGCAAACTCATTAATAGGAACTGGAAAGAACCTGAGGTATAAGGAAATAAGGCAGACTAATGGTCCTTGTTAACTGGACCTGCAGGTGAATATGTCAGTGGCATTGGGTCTTCTGGAAGGGAGACATCTTTCTTAGCAGGCTAGCTCTACCCAGAGAACCACTTCCAGCAGGTAAACCCGAGGAAATGACTCCCCGGAGAATTCCACCTAAGCTATGCCCCATCCTCTGAAGGAAGCATGGAAATATTTCATCTTGGCTGTGTGAAGAGCGTCATACAGTCTCGTGGAGATTTTATCCAACTGTCATGTCCACTGTAGGAAAGATGGACAGACTGAGAGGAACATGAGAGGTGAGGTTCCCTCCGATCTGAGACCTTCAGGAAGGTCATGAAGAGGATCCTGGGCCAGACCTCTGATCTTTGAGAGGAATGCTGTGAAAGAGAAACTTCTAGACTTGCCATGGATACGGTACTCATGAGCTCACATCACAGCTGCTGTGGCCACCTCTACAGTATCAGTCCAGGAAAAATTCTGTCATAGATGAGGGTGGTGCCTTCCAGTCCCCGTCTCTTACCGAGGAGCTACCAGCGATAGACAGCTGTTGGGACTGAAGATCGTTCTCCCTTTATGTAAATGTGTGCCTGCTGGTAGATTTCCTGGGCTGCAGTGGGTGCCTGCCCCCCCCCACATATGAGCAACACTGGACTTAGTACCACCTCCCCCCCACCTATAAAAGTGCATGAAGTTGTCAGGGTGCCACATTGAAGAGTCTTGGGGGAAGCTGAAGTGGGGATATTGGGAGTGGATGTGATCACATTTCATTGTATACATGTAGGAAATTCTTAAGAATAAAGAAAATTAATTTTAAACCTCTCTGACCCTTGGCAGTGAAACTTGACAGTCCAGTCCCATATGTTAGCTCAATTACCAAATAATTAAAACACTGTTTTTAAATGTCATTATTATTTTTTTTAATCACTGACGAAATTGTCCAAAAGATGGTTAAGAGAGAAAAATATAAAAATAATTTTCTTCAGACGGGAGAATATGTTTAATTTTAACAAAATGTTCCTTCCAGTCTGCTTACAGTTTGACAGTAATTGAAGGAACGCTAAGAATTCCCTTTGTTTGCCCATGACAGATCCTCAGTGCGACCACAGAAGAAAAGGTTCTGTGCAGCCCCAAACACGAATGTGTTTAAACACAAAGCTGTGCACCGTGCCTGCTCGTCTTCCTCTGGCGTCATCTGTCCATGGTGGCCTTGATCCACAGCTCTTCAAGTTCCTCCCTCTGGCTGATCCCTCCCCTACGTCTAAGGAGGAGAATGTTGAGAGGGCGCCAACTCCTGAGGGTTTCATCTCTGTCTTCCTAAAGCTAGCTGTCTCCCTTTCACCTCACCATTTGCAAATGGTCTGCAGCCCAAAGGAAGCGCGCGCGCGCGCGCGCGCGCACACACACACACACACACACACACACACACACACACACACCAACTTCTCAACTTTCTCTTTTTTCCCTTGAAGAAGGTTGGTCATTTGGCAAAGATGTAGGAAGCTCTGAGGATCTGTCCCCTGCCCACCTCTCCTGCCTCCTCTGCCATTTTTTTCTCTTCTTATTAAATTATAGAAAAGCTCATCTTAATATGAAGCGGTTTGTCTCATATCTTAACCAAATTAGTGCTCAGATCATGTGGATACTGTGCTGGCCAAGCAGTCATATCAGAATACATTGAAATATCGTGGATCCACAGTGCGCATCACATTCTCTTCCCCTCTCCTCCCCTTCCCCACCCCTGACTTTTACTCCATCTTTTTAAACAACAACCCATCCTGACTTGACTCATTCTTGCTTCTCATTCCCCTCGGTGTCAATGTGCTGTTTCCAGCCTAAGTATTTTCAATGCTGATAAACATTTCTTTAAAAAAAATGTTAATTATGCTCAATATTGAAGGAATGATATCGTAACTATGGTTGGGGTTTGCATATATTGAGAGAAACATTCAGCAGTTCGTTGGAGTTTCTCTCTGAGTGTTACGAGTAACTAAACACGCTCTGAATTCCTGCTGGAACCATGGTGGTGGTAAAGCTGCTTTAGGGACTCCGAGGACAAGTTATTGATTGTCTCGAGTCTCCCGAGCTGGCTGGCGTGTGCTGCGGAGTGAGGGGGCACCCTGCGAGGCGTTCCCAGGGAAGCAGGGATGCGCGTTGGGGTGCACGTGAGACATGTGACGTCAGCCTCTGCAGTGGCCACAGTGATCTGCGAGGGGATGGTGTTCTTAGGGGTCCAGCCAACACGCTCACTGCTCTCAGGGTGGGAGCTTCCATTTCTGCCGTATTCTGCTGGAGGGTGGAAGTTTCCCACGAACCTCATGGACCGACCGGCAGGTTTTCAGAACGAGGCTGAGCCATGTGTGGGGAGAAGTCGTGTTTACACCCCAGAGCAGCTCACTTACAGGAACAGGTTGGTGGTAAGGAAAATGGCCTGGATGTAGGGTTTACATAGAAAAGTGAGTCCTGTGTGAGAAATGAGGCAGGGATAAATAGGATGGAAGACGGTGGTGTGTCGTGGCTGCAAGTGGAAATCCCAAGGGAGGCATTGGAATGCCTGGACCTTCACTAGGGACCCGACAGTAAATCAAGAATCAGATAAATGAAATACAAACCTTACAGCGTTCTTCTCCGACTGTTTTCCCAGCAAAGTGAAGGAAGAAAACTTTGAATAGCCTACCGAAAGTAACCGGAGCTTGGGACAGATGTGGTCAGGATGCTATCTGAGGGAATTTGAAAGTGGCAGCTAGCACTGGAATTTCTGAAACGTGTAAAACGATTTCTTTATGAACTAGTGTAAAACTTTTCACTAGGCCCAAGATGGTTTTGTAGGATCATACTATAGTTCCCAGGCTGCTCTCAAACCCAAAATCCTCCAACTTGTACCCTACCAGTATTGGGGTTACAGGCATGAGACATCACATGAGGCCCCAAATCTTTAAGTAATTGCTTTAGGGGTGGAAAAAATGGCTCCCCAGATACAGGTGCCTATGCATAAGCCTGATGTTGTGAGTTCCATTCCCTGAACCCATGTGGTGGAGGAAAGAATCAACTCCCCCAGGTGGTCCTCCGACTTCCACACAGAGTGCTACTGTATGTGTGTGTGTGCCACAGTAAATAAACTAATATAATAAAACTAAATAATGCCTTGGACTTCAAAATTGAGGAAAAGTGTATATACATACATACATACATATATATACACACACTACATATATGTGTGTGTGTGTGTGCAAGTGCACGTGTGCGTGTGATGAATGCAGGTGTGAGTGTACAATGATGCACATATGGAGGTCAGGGGACAACTTTATGGAATCAGTTCTTTCCTTCCACCTTGTCGTGGATTCCAGGGATTGAACGCAGGCGTCTAAGCTTGCCTGGCAAATGCCTTTGCCCAGTGAGCCATCTCGCAAGCCCTGGAAAACGTTTTTTCTTTGTTTTAAAACAACTTTGTACAGACACATTTAAGAAATTTGTCATAAACATACTTAAATATGAATATAAAAACAAAGCCATTTTTGACCAAGTTCTTAATAAATCTAACAAATCGAAGGCTGGGAGATAGAGGAGGGTTATCATTATTGGGGTCTGCCCCCATTGGACCCTCAGTGTGACCAACAGCCTCGGGCACAACTGGGGAGGGGAGTGGGGGCCACAGAGACTGGACTCAGCCAGACATCCGACATCCGCACAAGGGATGAGCAGGGCCTGGCTGGATGTTAGCCGTCAAGCCTGAGGAAGAGCTCTGTTCACTACTGTCTGCCATGCATCTAAATAAGGACCGTGCTCAGTCAGATGCCAGGGGAAGGAGAGAAGAGAGGGTGAAATGGTCCCACAGTCACTACAGACCTGAATGGGACAGAAGGACACTAGGTGTCCTCCACTCTTTCAAGACTCTGCCTTCAGACTAGGGAGGTGGCTGAGTGGCAGAGGGCTTGCCTAGCATGTCTTACCTCTGAATTATATCCCCAGTACTACCCAAAACATCAAAACCTGTGCGGGTCTCAGTACCAAGACTGATGAGGCACACTGTTTCAATGGACATAACTTTATTCTGCTTATTTTCTGATCATGGCAGGAGTACATGTTTACTTAAAAAAAAATCCCAATGGTTTCCATGGCAACGAGAAAACCATTTGTTAGTCCAGACTCTTGTAACAATGTCACTATCACTGGAAACCACGTTTAGAGCCATAGCTTTTAAAAAGCATTTGAGGCTACGGGGTGACTTCACCGAGAGGCAGAGACAGATTTGTCCCAGGGGAGATGGGAACTTGGTATCTCTTTTAGGCAAGATCCCAAGCAAGCCTGACTCCAGAGAGAACTTCCCTGTTTCCAAACCATAAATAGTACAAAGCTTTGTGCATTGCTTCTTATGCATCAATGTCAGTGTCATGGACAGCAGAAATGTGCCATGATCTTGCCTTAGTCTTGCAGAATCTAGAGATGGTCTAGATTTGTGTGGGAGTCTTTCTCTAGTACATATCCA